CGGATAATTTAGATACCTATAGTAAAAGTATTTTTGTTATCGAATATTGTTTTAATTTGACAAATAACTATAAAAAATATTTTGGGTTGTGTTTTTTACTACTAAGTATAGGTACCTTTATACGTAGATTATGGTATATTTTACTATTATATAGGTACCTAACTGAACTGAATATGCTTAACAGAATGTTCCAGGAATATTCCTAAATGAACTTTCTTCAGCAATTACTTTCTCAACATTCTAAGCATATGTGAAAATGCCAATCACCTCGCTCACTGTGCTTTTATTTCGAATGTGCTTCGAACCAGGCAGTTTCGGACTTTTGGTGCTCATCAGTGTCGGGTAGCCTTGTTAGACCGAAGCACACTCGAAACAAAATGCACCTGCCGCTCTTATAGCAAGAATTGCCACAGAACAGCGGTGAAAACACAGCGAACGAGAGTTCTCAGCGACATCTACCGTCCAGAGGACGTAGCCAAACTGTAAGCGAGGTGATTGGCATTTTCACATATTGAGAGGCACTACTACTTTAGTAGGAAAACCATGCTGATATCATTCTAAGCATATGTTTAGAGTGGATTAATTTTTACCAATAAACTTTGCACCTTCTAAGAACCCAGACCGCACGGAATCTGCCTGAACATTCTGAGATTATTCCTAAAAATGCTAGAATATTTACAATCAATCTATGAATATTCCTGGGGAATATTTCAAATAAATTATTATATGAATGTTCCCGAATAATCCAGCATATTCCAAGAATATATTTGGGAATATACCCTAAACTAGATCAAAATTAACAGCTATAGCCATAGAAAAAGAATATAGCTATAGCTGCATTTTGGGCAACTGATTGATTAATGTACCTATAGGTAATATTGTTTGTTAAACAATATAGGTATAAGAGTATTAATATTATTAATATTAGAAGCCATATTGGGGTGTAAATTATTTAGTATGTGCTTATTATTACTTGTACCCACAGACCAAGTCTGGGCTTGTACCTTAAAGTATAATTAAGGTATAATTATACCTAATTAATATAATAAGTCTAGACTAGCTTGGACCTGTACGTTATATAATTTATTTATAATTATAAATATTATATATAATAATAATTCGTACACATGCACAAAGTATATTTATACATAAATGTGTGCTCACTGATAACTTGTGTATACAAATTTTACGTATTTAAAATGAGCGCCTTTAATATCGCTACTCCGTGGCGGGGCCACTCGGCTCTGCGCGCGCACGGCAGAGATTCTCGGCTCTGCCAATAGCAGACAGGCAGGTTCTTCTCTCTGGACAGGTTCACGAATTTGATGAAGACGGTGTGTGTTGAGAGTGACGCTGCAGCCATTTTCTAGTTTCTAGTTAATTGTTAAAAGGTAAGTTCTAGTTTTTAGCTAATTGCTCCTTCTTTAATTATATTAAAATACTAAATGCTGTTTAAAACTATATCTACTTCTTTATCTTCATTTAATTAGGTAAAAATGAGTCCCCAAACAGTTCATTTTCCAACCGGCTTTTGTAGTTGTATTTTATAATTATAATAAGTTGACTTTCAACATTTAAAGTGCTTTAGACACAAAGTCGACATTTGTTTTTAATTATATTTTATAATTACATCGCTTATTATTATGTTTTGACAATTTAAGAATACTTTTCCCATACTAGAGGATGATGTTCTTCGTAATACAAATCAACTTTTGTATGAAGATGACAAATTTTATAAGTACGCGGTAAGTTGTCAAAAATGCTTTAAAAGTGCTTTTAATTTAAGTTAATTTACAAATTTTCAGGTTAAAATGGTGTCTCTGGAAGGTGGCCATACCATTAGTGAATGTGTAAGAAAAGCCATGAAAACCATACTCGATGATAATTTGGCAAACAGCTACAGCTTCAAAGGACACAAAGCTAAAAAGAATTTTACCGCCCATAAACATTTTGTAACGTTAATTATAGGTATGAAATACTGTAAGTTGTTATCAACACTCCACATATAGGTAATTTTATTTTAGATTGCGTAAGAAATCATGTGCCGCAAGCTACCACAAAGGAAATAGAGGATCAAATGGCAGTCTGGCTGACCAAAGCAAAAAGAAGGATGGAAGCGCTTCAGCAGTAGAAATGTGCAATTCCAATTTATACAGGGTTACTGTATTACAGTACCAAAGAATTTGTTTTTATTTCGTTATATATGTATGTATTTTATTTCTTATATATATATATATATATATATATGTACATTGTATATATATGTATATACACATTGTACCCATGTACTACAATTGCTTTTATTAAACTATTTAATATGAAGTTGTCTTTATGTCCAAAAAGGTCCTTAAAAATAACAAAAAAACCCGAAAATTCTTTCAACATTCCGGCCTACTAAATTTTAATAAGACTGGAATATTCCCAGAATCAATTTTAAAAGAAATTATGGAATAACTTAACAATATTTGAAGGGCAGATTCTGGGAATATATTTTTCACCATGCTATGGATAAATAAAAAGCGGACATTTTTATATATCAGGAATATTCGTGGGAATATTCTAGGACGTTTGGAATAATCCTAAAAATATTCCTGGAATAATACTGGAATAGGACTGTGCGGTCTGGGAACCTGCCTATAGGCCAGTGAGAATATTCTTAGGATTATGCTATATTTCTTTTAAGCATGTTCTTTAGAAGAAATATAGCATGATCCTAAGAATATTCTTACTGGAAGGTTTAGAAAACATTCTTAGAACATGACTAGAAGAAGTATAGCATGATCCTAAGAATATTCTCACTGGAAGGTTTAAAAAACATTCTTAGAACATGATTAGAAGAAATATAGCATGATCCTAAGAATATTCCCACTGGAAGGTTTAAAAAACATTCTTAGAATAAACTGTGCTATCAGGGACTATAATATGTATACCATTATATAGTATTATATTAAGGAGCTTCAGGCAGTACATTGCGAGAAAAGGGGTAAGGGTTATTTTAATGCAAAATGCACCATACAAATACATTGTAACAAAAGAACGTGAATAGAAAAACGTAAAAAATAGGATTCAAACGCGACAACATTGCGAGTTGTTGATAGTTGGTTTATATAATACATTAATACATTAGATGCACAACTCTGTATTTGCAGGATAAGTGATTTTAAGAAAAACACGAAAAACCGCTCATAAGGTCATTTTTGAAAAAAAAATGCAAAAATTGTATAGACGTGCTTTTGCATCATTTCTTATTCAAATAAGTAAAAAAAATCCTTTAAAATTAAGTAATTTAGTAAATAATTGAAATCAAAAGATTTAAAAACATAGTTTTGCATCTTCCTCGTTCAAAGACCAAGTTTTGCAAGTGAAAAGTGCAAATACCAAAAAATAACAATTAATCAGATGATTGTTATGTCGTCACTTAATGCGTATACTAGCGACGTGATTGGTGAAATACCGAGTTTTGCATCCGACAGGAAGAAACAAATACCCAGTTTTGCATTTACGGTAAGTTTATAAATGTATTTTATTCTACAAATATTAACTTATGCATCTGGTTTACTTAGGTATGCTGTGGGCAGTGCAGTTATGAACATAAATAGAATAAAATGTATATTTTTGAAAAATTTGCAAAAACCGAGTTTTGCATTTCATGTATATATTATATACTTGTATATTTTCCTGTAATTGGATTGCAAATCTATTGGATTGGATCTATTTTTTTTTCTCGTATGCCCTGTAGAAGTGGCACATACATTTTTGTTAACATTCACAACACAATTTGGCAATAATAAACGATATTTTTTTACTCGGAAACCATAGGGCCAAACTTTGTAAATTTTAACGCTTTTTTATGAAAAAGTAATTTTCCATTACTACGCAATTATAAAAGCATTTCTATAATTCTAATAAATGCGGTTCTGTATGATATTTAAATACCTTGGATATAGCAAAACTTCTATTTGCTTTAAAAATGACATCATTGCAAACACCTAAAAATATTTATAAATACAAAACCATCTGCCACTGTTTCAAGTTTATGTGCCAAAATTTAATGTTTACGTAATTTGTCGCAAATAAAATATACGTGGCAATACAAAAATAATAAAAAATAAGGCATTAAAACTATAAGTATATTTATTGATATAAAATACATAAGTTTACATATTGCAAAATATACAATACTCTATGCTATATATTTATTTATATAAAAACAAATCAAGTATAACATGTAATAAAAACTATCTAAATTGTGTTATACTTTTTCTGTTTGTGTATTTACATTATCACAGTTAAAAGATGTAGGCTTCCAATTTGGGTTGATATTAAAATTTAGGTAGTTTTCATTATTTTAGCCATATGCGCATAACTGAATGATTGTTGAAAGCTAAAGTGCATTATGAAATGATAAAATAAGTACTTAAGGAAATTCTTAAGTATATTTAAATAATTAATTATTAGAAACACCTTTAGTAAGTTGTATGGCACTTTTAAAGTAACCCAGTTGCATTGGAAAATATTTTTTAATCTACAATTTGGGAGAATTCTAAATAAACAATTATTTTGGTTTTAATTATTCTTACAAATTAGGCTGTACACTTCTGATATGCTTAGTATTCTTCCAATGGTATTTACAAGATATTTTAAAACTAATTGTTTTAACATACAAAATTCACAAACAAACTTAAACTTGACGATTAAGGGGACATTTTAATGTAAAACATACAAAATGAGTTAAATTATTTTATTATTTTGTTTTGTTTTAACATTAAAATGCACTCTTAAGTTTTATATAATATGTTCTTGACCTAACACTGTATTTTAATAAAAACTTTGGGATATAATACGAAAACTATTTGCAGTTAAGTAACACTAAAACAAGAACATGGCGACTTCGCGATAGTAAATTTTAACTGTCGTTCAAAACATTCGAAAAACACATTAACACGTAAAATAGTCGCGTCAAACCGAATATATACAAATGGAATAAAACGAGATCTTTATTAAACATTGGCGCTGGTCGAAGGGACGGGATCAATAAATTCTTCGGGTTTGCTGGGCAGCGGCCTGGCACCCATAGTGTTTAGACTACCATCACTTTTTTGTTTGTTTTGTTTTAACTCGGAGTACAAATGCACTGCCGCGTCAGAAGGTTCGGAGTATTCGCTTTTTATTGAAGGTTTTAGCGATTCGTCTGATGGAAGGTTGAATTTTTCCTCCATTAATTTCAGAATGCTTCTGGCTTCATTCTGAGGTTTTTCGTCTTTTTCTTGGTATGGTGGAGGCGCCTGTGACATATTCATGTTTCCCAACTCCTCGTAAAGGTGCGCCTCTTCTTGTCTGGCATTGTTGTCATAATTATCATCCACTACAAACATTTCATATAGGCGTTCTATCATTTCAGAGGCTTGTTGGTGCGTCGTTGGATCATCCAGTTTTACTTTCAACATTTGTAGAAAGTCCAGGGTAAGCTCGTCCGGTATATCCAAGGGGTCGTTATAATCCATGGTTACCATGGTATTTTCATCATCCTGACTGGTTTCATTATTATTATAGTGGATGTTTCTGAAGTAACCTTTACGTTTTAACCAGCGACCCCCCCGAATAAGCATTATGATGAACGAGATCATGGCTATAACTATCAATAGACCCCCTATAGTCAGTATTATGATGACCCAGGTTTGTTTGTTGTTGTTTTCATTAAGAAAAATCTTGCTGGAGTTGTTTACAAGCCTAACCTCCCCATTATATGGTTCACATTTGATGGACTTGTTGGTACAAGACAATTCGGTAAAGTTCCGCATATTCAACAAACCCATCGGTAGGGTGTAACATTTGGACAAGTATTCATTGACTTTGCAAAAACTCGTCTCCATTAAATTCTCAACTTTGTCACTGCCATTCGTGATTCCTTTTAACCAATCTTCCATGGCGCACCCGCAAGATTCGTTAAAGAAATTATCGTCCACATAAACACACTTCTTGTCTAACTCTGATAAGAAGTACAACGCGTTGGGAGCAGCATTATAAACTTCATTGGATTTGAAGGAAAACATTTTGATGTCGTTGTTTGGCGGTGCAACGATGAAATTCGATTCGAGATTCTTGATGATGTTGTCTTGGACGAAAATTTTGTTCCAACTGACGAATTGGAAAGCTTCTGATTTGAAGTTTGCAATTTCGTTTCCTATTATTTCCACTGTTGCTGCCGTGCTGTGAACTGCGTCTTTTTCTATGTCTGTTATGCTAAAGAGAGAAAGTCGTGTTAATATAGAAATGCACTTAATAATTTTGAACAAATATGTAAGTTTGGGCAAAGATTTAATTGATTCGATTGATGAGCATTTTGCTGAATATATTTTATGTTCAGTTAATTTAAATAGATTTTTTCAAATGTCAAAAAATAGTAAAATTTTTTCGAAAACTAGTCGTTCTACTTCAGTTTAAACATTTTTCCAAGAAACGTGGATTTCTTTTAAACGTTATTTCTTAAAATTTAGTGAAGTGAAGCATATTTTAAGGAATGAAGCAAATTTAGGATAGATTTAAAAAAATATTACTCTAAAGATAATTTTATTTTTATAGTAAGTTTAAAATTTCTACAGAAAACATAATTTCTAAATATTTAATATTATTAATATACAGGGTGTCATTTAACTTGAAACTTTGAACTTAGTATGCATTTTACGAAAAAATGTTTAAAATAAAAATTAAATGATTTGAGGGGGGAAATCAATCAGTACTATAATTGGTCCTCATACTCTCCTCCTTATAGGGGAATAGGGGGTAACTTTAAAATTTCCAATGGAACACCCTATTTTTTTTGCAGATTCGGATCATTCGACTAAAAATAGGTAGCTTTTGTCTAAAATATTTTTTTATATTTGTTATAGATGGCGCTGTAATGAAAAAAAAATCAATTTTGTTCGATTTTTCTTCTGTACACGATTCTCCAATAATTTTTGAATAAAATACTTGGTTTCATTTTTTAAATTTTAATTAAAGTAGGTGCATTTATTAATTCGCGTTTCGGTTTAATATTCTGCTAAACTGCTCTGGGATATATTCCCAAATCTCTAGATAATTATCGTGTGCTTGCATGAGGATTAGCGGCCGTTGCTGCTAATACATTAATTTCATTATTTCCACCTGTGACTTTTGCTCGACGAACTCTTTTTCGGTTGAACACTCCCGTTTGTAGTAAACTGCTTGACTGTACGCATCATCAAGATTCCTGCCTGCTTCTCCATAAATCAAAATCATTTCTATTTTTTTTCCACTGTTAAAAAATTTATTATGAATAACTGCTTAACGAAAGGAGGTCTTTTTGTTTGAAAATTAATCTTCGAACCAAATTGATTAAATAATGCTAAACTATAAATAGTCTTTATACAGGGTGTCTCAGTTGGTTTTTCACTTTTTGTGGCCCTGTAAAAAAGTTGTTAGGTGGGTTGGAAGAGTGGGGTTAGTCGTAAACAAACTCTTGGTATTGGGAAATTTAGTCAACATGCAGCGTTACACAGGAGAACAACGCGCTTTTTGTGTGCGCGAGTTTTATAAAAATAACAATTCTTGCACTCTCGTTCGACGTTTGTTTAGACGCCATTACAATTTACACGACATTTAACAATACCCAGGCATTAATTTAATTAGGGCATGGGTTCGTAAGTTTAAAGAGACTGGTTCAATGACAAATAAACGCATAACCAACCGTTTAAGAACAATAAAAAGACCTGAAAACATTGAGATGGTGAGAGCGTCTGTGAGGCAGGAACCAAACTTGTCGGTTCGCAGGCGTTATGTCCACATGATACGTGATTTTTTGACACCTGCTCTTCAAGAATTTGAAGGATGTGACCAAGAAAGCTGGTTTTAACAAGACGAAGCCACAAGTCACACTTCAAATCGGTCTTTGCCCGTTGTTCAGGCGTTTTTTCCTGAAAAACTGATTATCTGAAGAGGTGACATAAATTGGCCCCCCAGAAGCCCGGATTTGACTCCATGCGACTTCTTTTTATGGGGATATCTTAAAAGTCAAGTTTATCGTAACCACCCTGCCAATTTGGAGGACTTGAAGCACAATATTCGGGCAGAAATGAAAGCCATAAGTGAGCAAACTTTTCGGAGCGTGATTGCAAATTTTAGAGCTCGACTTCAAGAGTGCCAGGAAAAAAATGGGCAACATTTGGACATATAATTTAAAAAAAATAAATTTCCCAAGTTTTTTCTTTAATTTAATAAAAATTTGTCAAAATTGATCGATTGGTTTTTTTTAATTTTAAATTCAAAAAGTGAAAAACCAAATGAGACACCCTGTACCTCAATAATAATTATTATTTATAACTAAATACCATTTTTTTATACCTCAATTAGGATTAAATTAATAAATTGACAAAATAATGTTTTTTGACCTTAAATGAGGTATTTTTATTAAAAATAGTACAATAATCCTTTAAATTAAAGGATTTAATGGTGGCAGGTAAAAAGTGACCATGGTGCGCAATTGATAATTATCACCGAATGAAATAATGTATAAAACTTAAACCAAAGGAAACTTAAATATTAGTTAAAAAATCGTGGTTACTTAAAAAAATCAGATTTAATTTATTAACATAATTATTACCGAAAAAAGTGATATTTTTATAGAAAAATTATTGCAGAATCGTATACAGAAAAAAAATTATTACAGCGCCATCTATTACAAATATGAAAAATGTTTTAGACAAAATCTACCTATTTTTAGTCGAATGGTCCGAATCTGCAATAAAAAAAATAGGGTGTTCCATTGGGAATTTTAAAGTTACCCCCTGTTCCCCCTATAAGGAGGAGAGTATAAGGACCAATTAATTTTAGTACTGATTGATTTCCCCCCTCGAATCATTTCATTTTTAATTTAAAATTTTTTTCGTAAAATGCATACTAACTGAGATATTTCAAAGTTTCAAGTTAAATGACTCACCCTTTATATTAAAAATTTAGAAATTATGTTTTCTGTAGAAATTTCAAACTTACTATAAAAATAAAATTATCTTTAGAGTAATATTTTTAAATCTATCATAAATTTGCTTTATTCCTTAAAATATGCTTCACTTTTTTCACAATTTTTAGAAATAACGTTTAAAAGAAATCCACGTTTCTTGGATAAATGTTTAAACAGAAGTAGCCCTGTATATTAAAAAAACAGGTCTTTAAGGTAAGGAGATACTATAGTATCTTCATTTAAACAGTTTGATGAATTAAATACTTTATTACAAATTAAAGTATTATTAAAAACTAAAAAAAACATTAAAAGTAAATAAGTAATTGTTTAAGAACAGCAAACAGATAACTCTCAAACAATAACAATTTAAATTGTTAATTTGTTGTTATAATAGCAAAATTAAGGTTTAAAACCGTCATAGGTTTGTGTTGTCTTAAGTTTGCATCACAAAATTTAAAATGACAAATTTAAAAAGTGCTAAAAAAATTTTCCATAAAAAAATACTGTAATAATCAATTTCTAAGCCATCAACACGAGTTTAAAAACAAATTTTTAAAAGAATCTATGGAAAATAACAACTGTGCAAAAGTGTTATTTGTTACGGATTTCCCATAGATTACTTTAAGAATTCGTTTCAAAACTCGAGAACAAAATAGGATCATGTTGATAGCTTAAATTATTAAAGTTTATTTTTTATGGAAATCTTTTGAGCAAGCTCGTGAGATACAAAATAAAAAAATGGCGTTTGAAAACAAATGTAACTTTACAAATTGGAATCCGTACTGTAAATTTGTATCTGATGCCTCACAAAATCATATATTAAATTATGAAGACATTCTATAGAAACTCTTCAAATGGAGATACATACTACCTTAATGGCAGTAAACGAAAACCTAAATGATTATGATGCAAAATAACTAAGTATAAAAACAAAACTTACATCGAATAGTGCACAGTAAAATTAAAAAACGCAGCCAACACAGCCCCAGACTGTATCTTCGCAATGTTGCATTTGCTGATAGTGAACTTTTTCACCAAGGTTCGATCGGTCAACGCTCTATTGTGTATGGTGTCAATGGTGGTGTTCCAAAAGGTTATGTCAGAAATTTGATTTGCTCTGAAAGCCCCCTCGTGGATGTCGCTTATTCTACAGCCGTTGATCGATATTAAAGCTAGAGACGAGAAAAATGCTCCTGTCGGGATTTCTGGGAATATCACATTTTCAAATTGAATCTAAAAAAAATGGGTTTTATTGGTATAAATTAGAAAATTTAGTTGATTGAAAAAATTTTGGATTTTTGCTACAGATTGAAAAGATGTTTTAAGATTTGCTTAATTCTCGGGCTCTTGTCTGTGTGTGGCTTCAAATATTTATATTATTTTAAAAAAACGTTTTAACCATTTAAAGCGTTTAGAATCTAAACTTTAGATGCTAGGCTTTGCAAGTTACTTAAGTAGGTTTTGAGATAAACCAGAAATATGATCTTTATGAAAGTGATAGGTAGAAAATCTATTATATTTTTTTCTATATAGGTAATTATTAATTGCTTTTCCGTACCCAGCGATATTAAAATAGTTAGCAATAAAAAGTCAATAAATTAAAAATTAAATGTTACGTTTGATTTCTTTCTTGATTTGTTCAATCGTTTTAGGATGAAACTGAAAAGATATCTTTTTAATTCCATCCTAAAACAATAATATTATCGGATTTTAAAGCGCGTCTCACAAATATTCTATTTGACGTTTCGACCGCCATGTTGCTATATATCCCAACGTATCTTCTTCAAATTTTCAAAGAATAAATAAATAAAAAAACATTAGAGCAAAAAATCGAGTGAGGTTAAATCACAACTTCATGGCGGCTAACTTGAATACTGTCAAATAAAATTCTTTAAAAAAAATATTGAGTTGTGCAAATGCTAATATTTTTAACGATATTGCCTAAATTAGCAGAACTATAAATTATTGGACTTGTTTAAAAAAAAATTTTAGGGTGTGTTTTCACTAGTGTCCGACCGAAACACGATTTTCAGCCGAAACCGTAACCGAATATTTCGCTCCTTTTCTAGTTTCGCACAAAACCGTTACCGAAACTTATGTTTTTCGTTACCTAGTCAATTAAAATTTTATTAAGTTAAAAATATCTTAAAATCTAGTATTTTTCCTAGCTTTGTAACAAATTGTTCATTTAGAATAAATAAAAGACTTTAATTTATTATAAAATCTGATTTTTCAAAATCACTTTTATTGATAATCTGTAATTAATAATAACAAATTGTTGAGTTAGCTTTAGTAAATTACTTCGGCGATCCGCGTAAATTTGTCCAGCGGCACTGAACATTCGCTAGGAACGCTTGTAGGTGTTTAAAACATATTAACTAAATATTATTTAGTTTAAATTTTAATTTGATTTTAAAACTTTTAAAATTACAACAAAATTAAAACATTTATTGACGTTTTTCGGTCCATATTTTTATATGAAATATATATATTCCATTACATTTAAAAACTTCGGACGAACACTAGTTTTCACTTTATTTACTATTTTGAAATTATAATTCTTTTGACGCGCAGAAAGTTAAATTTTAGCATGTTGCGCGCGCACATGGATCGTAAATTATGAAGTTAGTCGTCTAATAAAATCGATATGAGTTAGGGGGGCGTGCACGCAGAGCTTATATGTTCGTGGCGTAAGAAATGGGTGACATACTCTATAAATGAATTAGTCAAACATGACTAAAACTGTTCTACTTTTTTTTTTAACTTTTGACGACATTTTCGGATCCAGGGGACAATTTTACATAAGAATTATTAATAATAAAGTTTATTTCAAAAACAAACAGTAAATAGAAACTAGTCAAAGAATGCAAACAAAAGTTGGATATCGTGGCCGAAAAAAATTACATAGACTTTACAATTGGCTGTTAAGTTTTGGGATACCATGGTATTCCATGGTTAACCCAAGGGGTCAACCACCCAAAGGGAAAACGTCCAGGGATTCCCATGTATTCCCATTATATTTTATTGTATTCCTATGTATTTCCATTGTATTCCTATGGTATTCCCCCTCTAAAATGTCCATGGATTCCCAGGTGTGGGTGACCCCTCGGGTTAACCATGGTACAAGTGAAAAATCAGCCACTAATAACTATTAAATTAGTCATTTTTGACTAATTTATTTTTATAGAGTAGAATAAATCCAGAGCCACCCTAACCACAGGGCTAAATGAGCTATAGCCCCGGGGCTCAACATTTTGGGGACGTTGATGTTATATTTTTTGTTATTATAATATCCTATTTTTAATCAAAATCTTTTCAAGAAAAAAAATAAACATAACATGTTATAAATGACACAGAAAATAGTATACGAAATTAAAGGATTTTTTTCTGGTACTGATACTTTTGTATAACTTGTATAACCCTTCCCACTAACACCTATAAAGAAGTTAGTAGCCCACGGGCGCTGAATATCTTAAGACGGCCCTGAATAAATCACCCTGGCCACCCTATGATGGATTGCTAAATAGGTATAAAAAAGGGTTTGTTGAGTATAAAATTGATAAATTTAAAAAAATTAATTTTTTTTTAATATCTAAAAATATAAAAGTACTTATATATGACGAAAACATTCTCTCTAACAATGAATTAGTCAAAAATGACTAATTTAATAGTTATTAGTGGCTACTTTTTCACTTGAACCATGGTTAACCATTAAATGACATGGTATCCCAAAATTTAACAGCCAATTCTTATGTACGAGGGTGGTTCAAATATAAACCGGAATTTTTTAATAAACGCGCTAAAAATTTAGTATCGTAAAAGTGGCTGCACTGGATGTTAGACTGGTCTGTTACGAAGCGTAGAGAACAGCCGGGACTGCGTAACCTCGCTTTTCAGTGTAGTTATAGCCATGAGCGAGAAGGATGTACCAGTGTCTGTTGCGCAACGCATTATTATTCGTATTTTGGTCAAAGATAATGTAAAATCCGCGGAAATTTATCAAAAATTACTCGAGCAGTTCGGGGATGAGTGCCTCTCCAAGACTCAAGTGTATGAATTGTTTTCCGCTTTGCGAAAAGGCCGAGAAGTGGTGGCAAACTTGCCATATGCGCGGCGCCCCAAACAAGTGTTACAGATGAGAACGTCAGCGCTGTAGAAAAACTCATTTTGGAAGACCGGCGCAGTACTGTACGCAATATGCCTGAAGAATTGGGCATCAGCGTAGGTAGTATTGAGCAAATAATTCATAAACGGCTCGGTTACCGCAAAATTTCAGCCAGATGGGTGCCAAGACTTCTGAATTTTGATCAGAAATTCACACGCTGGGAAGTTTGATGAAAACATTGAACGAATTGGGTTGGGAAACACTGGAACACCCTTCTTATAGTCCCGATTTGTCGCCATGCGACTAGTATTTGTTCGGTCCATTGAAAGAGGCACTTGGCGGACTGCGATTCGAAAGCAATGCGGAGGTAGAATACTTCGTGCGCGAATGGTTACGTGACAAGCCGAGAGATTTTTACGAACAAGGCATCCGAAAGCTTCCGGAGAGGTGGCAAAAGTGTGTAGAGTGTGACGGAGACAATCTAGAAAAATTGTAAAAAATTTCAGCTCTGTAACTTATTAATAAAAAATTGTATAGCAAAATTCCGGTTTATATTTGAACGACCCTAGTAAAATTATCCCCTGAATCCAAAAGTTAAAAAAGTATAACAGTTTTTGAGATATAGTCAATTTTCTATTTAATATGGAATTGACTATATCTCAAAAACTGCTTCACTTTCATAATTTTTTACGGTATTTTCGGATTCAGGGGACAATTTTACATACGAATTGGCTGTTAAATTTTGGAATACCATGGTTAACCATGGTACAAGTGAAAAAGCAGCCAGTAATAACTATTACATTAGTCATTTTGACTAATTCATTTTTAGAGAGTTAGTTTCTAGAAACAACCGCTATAAAAAATTATTTTATGATAAAAAAATATATTTTCTTCTTAAAACAATAAATTTGTTACTTTTTCCTTTGAGGTTTTTATATAATAATAATTGTTGTGGATTTGATTAGGGTAAAAATAAATACTAACACTGGTGACGGGTCCGTGTCTTCCAATATTTCCTTGATTCTTAAATTCAAAGGTGCTTTCAGATAATTCTAGTTTCCCAATAGACTTAAATTTTGAAGTGTTTAGTTTACTAAATGCACATTTTCCTAGGGAAACTCGTTTAACTCTTTTAATGTCTGCATCTATAAAGGCCTGAAACAAAAAATAGTTTACTTAATATGCATACCTAATATTTATTATACTATAATAAGCATTAGAAATTATTACACACTACTAAAGGACATTTACATAATTATTTAAAACTAAATGTTGAAATCAAAGTATTTAATCACATTAATAATCCTATAAAGGAAGTACGAAAATTAAAAATACTTTCACAGTTCACCTGGTTTCACGTATCGCCCATACAAAACACTTTTATGTGCTATCGAATTTACTAATTGAAGCTAATTTGGGACCGAATAATAAACATATTTCCTTAACGTAAACATATTTGGAATTTTAATCAATTTTGTGGATAGGTGCTCGTTACTTAAAGGTTAACGATCTTAATGTTTTTATGAATGGGTGGATTTTATGCAACTGCAAATAAATTTGGGATAATATTAATATTATTATTAGAGATGCGACTTGAAAAAAAACGGTCGGTTTTTTTGTTTTTTTTTCATTGTTTTTTTCAAATGGTGTTTTTTCACATTTTAGGTTTTTTTCAAGATTAGTCCCATTTGCCTAATTTTTTAGGTTTCATGGACTAAAATTAGCCACTAAATGACAATTAGTAAATGTAAATACAGTCTCGGGCTATGAACGCGCCACCACCACCGAATTGACCAATAAGGGCCGCGCTTGTTTTGATTTAGTCCTAAAAAAAGTAACTACATATTATATATTATATAATTCATGTAGAGTATGGAATTTTTTTTTTCAAAAAAACAATAGCAAATTCTTGTAGAACATTTACTCATTGGTGGTAAAGTCAGAACATTCCGTGGACCAGAAAGCCAAAAAAAATCGATTTTTTTTTATTACGGTATTTGTTAGGATTGAGCGTTGCACATTTTTCATATAAAAATCTCAAAACTAGAAACTTCATGCTTCAAATTGCTTTTTTTACGGCTCCAATACGACCATTTTTAACAAAGATACAGCTATCCGAAGAATCGCAAAACAATTTTTTTTATCCTTTAATTTTTTGTATTAGTGTAGAAGTTTTACATTGCTATTTGTTTCTTATGTGGAAACTACCAAATAATAAGAAATCAGAATTTTAAGTCTCGGTCAAAATTTTCAATAATGAAAAATTTAATATATTCTACATTTCACTTTATTATTAATATATATTTTACTCAAAATTTCATTTTGAAAAAAAAAACAAAACAAACCGTTTTTTTTCTAGGTTTTTTTTCATGTTTTTTTTCACATCTGAAAAAAAACCGTTTTTTTACATCTCTAATTATTATTAATAAAGACTTTATTATTAAATATGTTATAATATGTATTTTCTCTTCTTCAATAATTATATTTCAGAACAAGTTAAAATAGAATTCTTTGAATTATAATCTAAAGAGAGTTTTACTGTTATAAGAAAACCTTGATTTTTACCATGTAAATTTAAAGTTAACATTTTGCTTACATGTTACTTAAGTGGGTGGTTAGCAATTAGCTTTTTACTAACTCCTAATTAAAACAAAAACTAGCAGAATCACGCAAACCACACGACATTTTTCACTTACTTTCATGTCATCAAATGCACCAGTCTTAATTGTTACATCATCACAGTTTTCGATTTCGACTAGTAGACTAGAAGAGGTTAGATTATAGAAGGCCTTTGTGTCGATCAGGACCGACCTGGTGCCTTCTATCCGGACGAACGAAAGTCCGGGCAGCGACCGGAAGGAGTTCCTATGGAATCGCAGGGACCGCCCGCCGCTTATGAACACCTCGAACAACGTGCTGTGCACGAAGTCAGGAAGCACTTCTACATCCTAAAAAAAGACAAAATTATGAATATTATAAAAAAGTTTCCTATTTTGTTCAAAAGTGCTTAAAAACATCTTTCTGTAATAGTCCAGTTAATTTAGGACTAGTTCTCGAGATATAAGGCCATGGGCGGATTTAGGCATGGGAATTATGGGCTGCAGCTAGGGTTGGAACAGTTGAAATTTTCAAATGAAAATTTCAACTTTGAAAGTTTCAAACTTGAAATATTTCATTTAGTTGGAAAAGTGAAATTTTTAAAAATTTCAAATGAAATTTACAATCCGAAAATTTCAACATTGCCTGTGATATATCTATATATAACTATAGTTTCAGAAATTTCATTGAAAGTTTCGCAATTTACTGAAAATTTCGCATAAATTTCACATGCGGCCTCCCCTGGGACCTTTAATAATAATTTACAACAGATTCCGAATCGACCAATAATTATACACTGGCGGCAACAATTAGGGGATATTGGTAAATTTCAAGTATTCAAAATTTTGCTCATGGTTGTAATACTATAATTTAAACCTATAGGTTTAAATTATAGTATACCTTATAAATGTGTATTAAATACACATTTATAAGGTATACTATAATTTAAACCTATAGGTTTAAATTATAGTATTACAACCATGAGCAAAATTTTGAATACTTGAAATTTACCAATATCCCCTAATTGTTGCCGCCAGTGTAATTTATAGGCATTAATTAATTTAAATAATTTAATTTAGTTACCAATTTAATTTGTAAATTAAATTAGACTTAAATTTTTTTTTTAAGTCATGATTAATTTAAACTTTTACTTTTGCTATAATTGCATCGGAAAACGGATAAAAAATGCCTTTGGCTCATAAAATTTTGATGAAGTTTCTTCAATTTTCGTAAAATTTCAGTAAAATATTTAAAAATAATAAATATATATAAATGAAAACAATGAAAGTGGCACAATCTCATTAGCTTACCAAAAAGTGCTATATCTCTTTTAGTTTTAGTAACTTTAAAAATATTTTAAAAGGAAATCTCAAGAAATTTGGTAAACATAGGTATTTACTATTTATATTATTGGTGCAGGGACCCACAGAGGGGTAGGAGGTAAGAGAGGCAATTTGCCATGGTCCCCGAGTGGACTTATTTCAATATTAATATATTACACTTAAAGTGATTGAAATTTATTGAAAGTTTCAATAAATTTCATGAAATTTCAGAAATTTTGTAAATTTTAATAAATTTCATGAAAATTTCAAGTGAAATTTCAAGTACAAGCAAAAAGTGAAATTTTTCCAACCCTAGCTGCAGCCCACGGCCCCGTCCGATCGAGGACCCCCTACGCGATGCTAATATTTTTATTAAGAGGCCCCTTAAAAATTAACTTGGGATTTATATAGGTATCTTTTTAACGGATTAATGGACTTAAAAACAACATATTTTAAAAATATAATTTTAATTATTATTATTATTCAAAGTAAACTCTCTACAAAGAGGTCTCTTATTATTTTATAATAAATCTACTTGTTAAAAAGTTATTCAACCTTAAAATTACATTTATAGTAAATTTCAAGTTTTTCTCACTTTTCCGCTAAAAATATCAGATATAACAAAAAGGTATAAGACTTTGGTAGAATATTTTATTTTTCAAAAAATTGTGTAATTTTATAATTTTAAAACTTATAGTTCTACAGTTACTGATTTTACAAATTAATATTTCTAATTAAAATACTAATCAAGAAAATATCAATTTTATTGCAAAAAATATTTGTATTTATACTGGTTACACCAGTAAATCATAAATAAAACATAAAAAAATGATGACATATTTTTATAGAAAACAAAATGATCTACAAAAAATTTATGATCATTGCCAACATTTTGTAACAATTCTGATGGTTTTACCGGGAAAGTAAGAAAAACTTAAAATTTGATATGAATTTGCTTTATTTTAGTTCTCTAAAATTTTTTCTATAAAATTTAATAGCCTTATGAGCCTGTTAAAATATCACCCATTAATATTATTGGTTGGTAATCGCGAATTTACTTTTAAATTAAGTAGATTTTTTTTATTTTGAAATTATATTAACTCGTTAACGGATTAATGGACTAAAATTATTATAACTTTTATTTATTCTCGGGACACCTTGTATAAATGGTGTAATGTTTTATTAATATTATTTATGTTATTTATTTATTTTATTAAAAATAATTGTAAAGTCGCTCCTGTATAAGGCTAAGAAAAGGTGAAGCAAGCAAACAGTTTTTATAAAATGTATTGAATGAATATTTATTTAAAAAAATGATCAGGATACTTATTTATAATGCTTATTACTAGAATAATAAAACTCTAAAATCATTTTAAAAAGCAATCCAAAAAATGTTAAAAACGGCCGAAGGACCGAATAATAGCCAGTTGAGTTGACCTTTTATAGCTACAAAAACAAATAATATATTATTCATTTAAATATTAAATCATTTCTTAAAACAATATATTATTTTTCAAGTTTATTAAACGCCATTCTAGTCTAGAAAAGTTTATAAACGAGTTGCATACTATACTTTTTCTACGACATAAACTTATTATCTAAAACTGATTTAAATTAAATATTTGTATTGAGCGACATCTATAAAACAATAGAGTAACCAACATGTAATCAATCTGTATTACCGGCGCGCCTGTGAAAAAAACTAAATAACTACTGCGAAATAAAAAAAAAGGTAAATGAATTTCCAGAGAAATTTAGCTTTACACTTTGGGCCGCTAATTTACGGTCACCCTATATATTAAAGTGGAAAATGAGAAGAATTTAAAATAATCTTGTTCAGGTCAAATATCCCAAAAACACGAATTTGTTAAAAGTAAGACCTGATGAAGCAATTTTGCGGTCTGATTTAGGTTTAGCGCGTCAAAAACTAACTTACAGGTTATTAAATTATTGGTGAGAAATATTAGATATATTTTTTTTAAATAGACTTAGTTACAAAAAAAATCAAGTTTATTGAAAATTAATTATGCATGTATAATTAAATAATAACTGTAATAGGTATATACATTTATGTAAATATTAAGCACTTTCGTTATAATTAAATATTTAAATGTATTCGTTGATAAAATATTAAAATTCAAATTAATGAATTCCGCTTTTTAGATATACTACCTATAATATAATATATAATATATGTGTAACGGAACTCGTTGAGTGACAAGTTGGTTGCCTAAACAAGCTTGGGTGGAATCAAGGGCGGTGCCAGGTATTTCGGGGAAGTACCGAATGCGAAATGATGAGCAAGCAATGATGGCTTTTGCATCGTAATAGAAAGAGGGACAGGCATTCAGTTTGAGATCCCTGACTTGGCACGACCAGTGGGATCACCTTCATTCTACGAGTTTCCAAAATAGACATTAGTTTAGTGCTTAATAATTAGTTTATGTTAATAATTAGTTGAGTATAGTTAGTTTTGTATGTGTGTGCTAAAATAAACAATATAAACGTTAATAAATAAACATTGTGTGGTTAATATAAACAGTTATTAAGTATGGCAGACCTTGGAGAACAAGGGGATGCAACCCCGACATCAGAAGTGGGATGTGCTCAGGCCCAAACGGCAGAAACTGAAGCGGATAAATGGAGGTATTTATTTGAACAACAAAATAAAAATTTTTCGGCTTTGTTGCAAACATTAAAATCACCAGCAGTCGATAAGAAAATTCATTTGCCTGAATTCGACCCACACAACAAGAATGCTGACTCGCGTTCTTGGTTAGCTACAGCTGATATGTGTATAACCGATCAACCGCTAACTGGCGCTCGATTAATGATTTCGCTGAGCAAAGCATTAAAAGGTCAAGCAGCTAGTTGGTTATCTCAGATTTCTTACCCAGGAATGACATGGCAGGACTTCAAAGAAATCTTTGATGCCAGATATAATAACGCAGAAACTCCAGCTGCATTTTTAATAAATACTAACAATAATAAGCCGAAAGAGGGAGAATGCGTCGCAGCATTTGCAGCCGGCCAAGTCTCGCTATTAATGTCTAGATGGAAAAATTTAAATATCGAAGAAATCGCAGTTGCCACTGTTCTGGCCCAAATTTCTCAATTCGAAAATAAAGTTCAACACCTTGCATTTACCACAGAAATAAAAACAAGACAAAATTTGCAGCAAGAGTTAGCAGCATTTTCTTTTTCGAAAAGAAAACTTCCACTTGAACGAGATGTATCCGACCCAAAACGAATCAAATCAAATATTGCATCGCACATAAAATGTTTTAATTGTGGGAAAATAGGACACAAGTCAAAAGTGTGCCGTTCAATTAAAATAAGCAACTTTAAAACGCAACATGGAGGAATGTCATCACCAAGGGCCACATCTAATACGGGTAAAATGGTTACGTGCTTTAAATGTAACAAGTCTGGCCACTACGCTTCCCGTTGTCCGTTCCCAAAGAAATCGGAAGCCAATAACGACGCAGGTAGCAGCAGAGCAGGTCCGTCGGCAGAGCGTCGCGTGGATGTTTGTTTAATAAACACACCATCTGGTTCTCTACGTCATCACGGTGAGAGTTTTTCATTTTACTATGACTCGGGCGCTGAGTGTTCACTTATTAAAGAATCAACATCTTTTAAGTTTAGCGGCACGCGTTATAATAATGTTGTTGTTATGACTGGTATAGGACAAACCAGTGTAAACAGTAGTCAACAAATATTAAGTGCTATCGAGATCGATAACATTTGCTTTGAAATATTATTTCATGTGTTGCCTGACCATTGCTTACGACACGAAATTTTAGTGGGCCGCGAAATTTTAAACCAAAATATAGCTGTTTACATGACGTCAAATAAAATAAAATTAACTAAAATTAATATAGTCAACGTATGCGACAAATATAAATTAAATAAAAGCTATTTTGAAAATGTAATTACAGATATTTCACCTAATTATAAGTCTCGGTTGTTGACAATTTTAGGCAAATATAAAGAACATTTTATAAACGATATTCCTATTACGCGTG